TTTCTTTCTTTCTTTCTTTCTTTCTTTCTTTCTTTCTTTCTTTCTTTTCTTCTTTCACAGGGTCTCATTCTATGCTCAGGCTGGAGTTCATGCAGTGTCACAATCATGGTTCACGGCAGCTTTGAACTTCTGGGTTCCTCCTGGCTCAGCCACCTGAAAAGCTGGGACTAGAGGTGCATGCCACCAAGCCCAGCAAATTCTTTTTTTTTTTTTTTTTTTTTTTACACAATAATTTATTTATTGAGAGCCTCCTATCTGCCCTTGCAGTCTCTAGGTCACTTTTTCCGCTTGTAGATTTTGTGCGCAAGCCCCAGAAAGATAGTTGGGGGCAGGGGCGCTGCGTACTGTTCAATGAGACCCATAATGTGGCTGTAACTGTCTTCCTCATACTGCGAGAACATGGCCGGCAGATCTAGCTCCTCATATAATGCCTTCACTCGGGCCACCTTCTCAGCCTCCTTCTGCCCGTAATTTTCCTTCAGGATCTGGTACTGTTCTGGAGTGGACCGTTGCAGACACTGAACCACCAGCCAGCTGCATTTGTTGTCCTGGATGTCAGTGCCAACTTTGCCAGTCACACTGGGGTCCCCAAAGAGGTCAAGGTAATCATCCTGAATCTGAAAGAACTCTCCCATCTCCTACAGGATCTTCTTGGCATTGGCATGCTCCTTCTCGCCATCAATTCCTGCCATGTACATGGCTGCAGCTACAGGAAGGTAGAAGGAGTAGAAAGCCATCTTATACTTGACAATAGATTTGTACCTCTCTTCAGTGAATCTGCCAAGATCCATATTGCCCTGGGGGGCTGTGATGAGGTCCAGGGCCTGCCCAATCTCAGTCTGATAGGAACTCTGCAGGAAGAGCTTGATCAGGTTCAGGTAATAGGGCTGCTCCCGGCAGTAGAGCTTCAGCAGGCAGTAGATACATGCTTCCAGAAGGACAGCATCATTGATGGCATCCAAGCCCACGCCTGGCTTCTGATACCAGCAGAGCTGTCCCTGGCGGGTGAGGGATGAATCCATGATGTCATCTGTCACCAGGAAGAAAGCTTGCAGCAGTTCCACGCACCAGCCCACAGTCAGGGCCCGCTGGAGACTATCAGCATCCTGTTTCCTTGGCTCCACCAGCTCCCGGAATGCTACTAGCACCGTCAAACCCCAGTGATACTTGCCTCCAATGGCGTTGTACTCCAGGACCTCCTTGAGCCGGGCAATAGCATCTCCTGTCTCTGGGTGCCCCATCTCATCCTCAGTCAGCACCCTAACGATCTGGGAGAAGTGCTGAACGAAATCCTGCTTTTCTTGGACATAAACATCTGATTTCTGGTCTCCATTCATTCTGAGGGAGGAGCAAAGGGCTTTGTTCCTGGATGCGGGTTCCTGCTCGGTCCCGCTAGTTGGCGGGTACTCCTCCCAGCAAATTCTTAATATATACATATATATATATATTTTTTTTATTTTTTATTTTTTTATTTTTTTAAGAGAAGAGGTCTTACTCTATTGCCCAGACTGATCTTGAAATCAAGTGATCCTCCCACGTCGGCCTCCCAAAGTGCTAGGATTACATATGTGAGCCACCATGCCCAGCCTCATTTTCTACACTCTATATAATTTGCTACATTACTGTGTTTAAGGTCTGCTTCTCCCCACTAAATTATAAGTCACGTGGAGTCATGGATTTCAGCTGTTTGGTTTTCTGCTCTATTCTCAGTGTCTAGAGCAGTACCTAGCACAGTGTGGGAAGTCAATAATTGTTTGTAGAATAAAAATCGATGGTGTTTGTAGAATAAGCTAGCATTTATTCTTGTCTTGAGTAGAAGCATTTGCAGGCCCTGGGGGCAGCAGAGAGGTGGGTGGTAGTTTTTGTGTCAGAAACAGCACAAGCTGTAGGACATAGCTTACCTCATTCACGTGCTAAGCTGACTGATTGTTGCATGAGTCCATTTTAGTTCTGCTCTGTTTGCTGGTTGGGACTATTTTTCTTCTCTGTTCACTGCAAAGCATATCTATCTTCTTCCCATGTTCCCTACTTTATAAAACGATCCTACTATTCACTCCGTCTTTAGAGCCAGACGCCTGCCAGCCTCCTGCCATCTGCTTACATTCATCAGTCTTTGAACTTTCCAAATGTGTCTTCAATCTCTCTGCCCGATCAATCCTTTGCCATTTCCTTCACCGCAGTGTAAGCCACCATTACTTCTCACCTGGACCACTGCTAAAACTTTCTCATGAGCTTGTTTGCCTCCACTTAGACTTATCTGGTAGACATGTAAATCTTATCTCTTCTGCCCCAACAACCCACCGCCCCACCAAGGGGGTCCCCAAGCCTGTAGATCCAACTCCTTTTGTGATCACCACTGTACTCTCTTCAGCCTCATCTCTGGGTTGCACTCACCACCCTACGGCCACAAGAGA